TCAAAAACTTAGTACAAAAGAGAAAGTAAACTATCTCTTTAACAATTTCACGTTGACATGATAATATTTTAGATATATTGGGTTAAATAAGTGTTAGTAAAATGAATTTCACATATTTATTTTTAGTTGCTTTTCATTTGGCAACTAGAAGATAGAAAATTACATAGTGTCTTGCATTTGGACAGTACTGAGTTAGAGAGACTTGATGAAATTGAGGTTTGCTTTTTTTGGCAATTGTACTTCATAGGTGGCATTGTGTAGTCCAGCCAGAAGCACATAATGCCCGATTCTTTTTGTATATTAGCAGCCTTTGATGATTAATGTTTGGATTTTCTTATTCATTAGAGGTTGCAAAATATTATTTTAATTCTGTCATTCCTTTTGTAATCCTATTTCATCTACTCTTTGGTCCACCGGTGGGACAGCTCCTTAGCAAAGGCAAGATTGATGTTGGGTTCTTTATCTTTATTAATTCTATCTCACAAGCCATTGACAGATTTTTAAAATATATGAGTGCTTATTTTTATGTGCTTGTCAGAACAATTTACAAAGCTTACAAAGGAATGAAGATGCAGGTTTGTAAGCAAATTGAATATTGCTGCTTGCAAACATAATAAATTACTTGCAGTCTTTTAAAAATATATTTTAATTCTTTATTGTTTAAAGTATTACATAAGTTTCCTTCCCTCCCATTGACCTCTCCCTGGCAGCCCCTAACTCCCAGCACATGCCCTCACCTCCTCCTACTGTCTGTGTCCATTAGTTATGCTCATATGTATGCATACAAGTCCTTTGGTTGATCTCTTACCTCCTTCACCCCCCAGCTTTCCTTGTAGGTTGGACAGTCTGTTCATTGCTGGTTTTATTTTTATTCATCAGTTTATGTTGTTCATTATATTCCACAAATGAGTGAGATCATGTGATATTTATCTTTCTCTGACTGACTTATTTCACTTAGCATAATGTTCTCCAGTTCCATCCATGCTGTTGTAAATGGTAAGAATTCCTTATCTATCTATCTATCTATCTATCTATCTATCTATCTATCTATCTATCTATCATCTATCTATTTATTTTTTACAGTAGTGTAGTATTCCATTGTATAGATGTATCACAGTTTTCTAATCCACTCATCTGCTGATGGGCACTTAGGCTGTTTCCAAATATTAGCTATGGTGAATTGTGCTGCTATGAACATAGGGGTACATATATCCTTTCTGATTGGTGTTTCTAGTTTCTTGTGATATATTCCTAGAAGTGGGTCAAATGGAAGTTTCATTTTTAGTTTTTTTGAGGAAACTCCAAACTGTTCTTCACAGTGGCTGCACCAGTCTGCATTCTTACCAGCAGTACAAGAGGGTTCCTTTTTCTCTGCATTCTCACCAGCACTTGTCATTTGTTGATTTGTTGATAGCCATTCTGACAGGTGTGAGATGGTACCTCATTGCTATTTTGATTTGCATCTCTTGGATGATTAGTGACTTCGAGCATGTTTTCATGTGTCTCTTGGCCTTCTGCATGTCCTCTTTCAAAAAATATCTACTTAGGTCCTTTGCCCATTTTTTGATTGGATTGCTTATTTTCTTTTTATAACAAAAAGAAATTTTGGAGATTAAATTCTTATCGTTGACAACATTGGCAGTGGCCTTTCTTGTTTTGTTGATGGCTTATTTTGCCATGCAGAAGCTTTTTATTTTGATGTAGTCCCATTTGTTTACTTTCTCTTTAGTTTCTATTGCCCTAGGAGCTGTATTGGTAAAGATATTGCTATGACAAATGTCTGCTATTTTGCTGCCTATAGCTTCTAAGACTTTTATGGTTTCCCATCTTACATTTAAGTCCTTTATCCATTTGTGTATGGTGTAAGTTGGTGGTATAGTTTCATTTTCTGCATGGATCTGTCCAATTTTCCCAACACCATTTATTGAAGAGACTGTCTTGACTCCATTGTATGCTCTTGCCTCCTTTGTCAAATATTAATTGAGCATAATGGCTTGGATTAATTTCTGGGTTCTCTGTTCTGTTCCATTGATCTATATGTCTGTTCTGGTGCCAGTACCAGGCAGTTTTGAGAGCAGTGGCTTTGTAATACAGCTCAAAATCTGGTATTGTGACTCCCCCAACTTTGTTCTTGTTTTTTAGGATTGCTGTAGCTATTTGGGGTCTTTTTTAATTCCGGATGAATTTTTGGAAAGTTCGTTGTAGGTTTGTAAAGTATGCCATTGGTATTTTAATGGGGAGTGAACTGAACCTATAGATTGCTTTGGGTAGTATGGACATTTTAATGATGTGATTCTACCAATCCATGAACATAGTATATTCTTCCATTTGTTTATGACTTCCTCTCTTTTTTTGTCCTATAATTTTCTGAGTACAGGCCTTTTACTTCCTTGGTTAAGTTTATCCCTAGGTATCTTAATTTTTTGTTGTTGCAATGGTAAATGGGATTGTTTTTTTAGTTTCTATTTCTGTGAGTTCATTATTGGTGTATAAAAAAGCAATGGATTTCTGGGTGTTAATTTTGTATCATGCTATATTGCCAAATTCATTAACATATATATATTTTTATTTCAGAGAGGAAGAAAGAGGGAGAGAGAGATAGAAACATTAATGATGAGAAAGAATAATTTATCGCTTCTTCCTGCGTCCCTTCTACCAGGGATCGAGCCCACAACCCAGGCATGTGCCCTGACTGGGGATTGAACCCTGACTTCCTGGCTCATAGGTCTATGTTCAATCACTGAGCTACACCAACCAGGCAATGACTTGTAATCTTAAAGAATTGTCAAGGTCATGAGACAAAGAGACCAAAAAACTGCTTCAGATGAAAGGAGAGTAAAGGGATGTGACAAATACAAAATATGTTTCTGAATTGAATCCTGGATGTGGAAGTCCCCCTTCCCCCCTTTACTCTAAAGGACATTAGTAGGACAATTGGTGACAATTGAATAAAGTTTATAGATTGGATAGTTACTTTCTTGATTTTGATAATTGAATAGTGAATATACAAGAGGATGTAAGTGTTAGGAAATGTATACTGAAGTATTCAGGGGTAAAGGGATTATCATACCTACAATTTATTCTCAAATGAATCAGAAAAGATATATCGAGAGAGAGAAAGAGAGAGAGAGAGAGAGAGAGAGAGAGAGAGAGAGAGAGAGAGAGAGAAAGAGAGAGATAATGGGAGAGAGAGGGAATGGGAGAGAGAGAGAAAAAGCATACATGGAAACATTTGAGAATCTGGGTGAAATGTATACAGGAATTTTTTGTACTATTTTTATAATTTTCTGTGAATCTAAAATTACTGCAAAAAAGTTAGTAAACTAAATGCTTATGAATTTTAACAACTATGTTCTCATTTTAAGGTTATAAATATATTGGCATCAGCTTAAACTCAAAACCATAGCACTTTGCAAATTTGAGAGTAACTTTGTAAAGAACAAGACAATAGTTAGGAACTATTCTTTGAAGAGTTGTGTGGTGATTTAAAATCTATCCATAAATTCTTTGTTATTCCTTTCAAGAACTGGAGATCAAGTCTCCTCTTCTTGAGTGTAAATTGGACTTAGTGACTTGCTTCTAACAAATAGAATATGGCAGAAGTGATATGTCTCCTGTAGGGCTACGTCATAAAAGACCATGTGGTTGAAAAAGCCCTGTGTCTTAGAGCACTAGCTCTGGGCTAAGTCAGCTGCCTTGTCCTGAAGCCACTCAGACAGCCTTGTGGAGAGGCCTACATAAGAAGGACTCAAGGCCTCCTTCAATAGCCCTGTGAGTGTGCCATCTTGGACATCTGCTAGTAGTGACTGGCTGGACTTCTAGAGAATTAAAGAAATGATTGAGCTGGCACCGGTTTGGCTCAGTGGTAGAGCGTTGGTCTGCGGACTGAAAGGTCCCGGGTTCGATTCCGGTCAAGGGCATGTACCTTGGTTGCGGGCACATCCCCAGTAGGGGGTGTGCAAGAGGCAGCTGGTTGATGATTCTCTCTCATCAATGTTTCTAGCTCTCTATCCCTCTCTCTTCCTCTCTGTGAAAAATCAATAAAAATATATTTAAAAAAAAAGAAATGATTGAAAATGTAAAGAAGACATGAAATTGAGATAAAAACCATGTAATGAAAGTAGGCTTAAACTAGGAGGAGATTTAGTAGCTAGGGTAAACATAAGCCATGAAAGGAAATCTTTTTTTCTAAATTTAATTAATTTCTTTATTGATTAAGGTATCACATATTTTTCCTCAACCCTCCATTCCAATCCTCCCTACTCATGTCCCACCACCTTATTGTCATTGACCACTGGTTAGGCTCATATGTGTGCACATAAGTCCTTTGGTTGATCTCTCCCTTTTATCCCCACCCTCCCTCTGAGGTCCAACAGTCTGACCCATGGCTCCTTATCTCTGGGTCTGTTCTTGTTCATCAGTCTATGTTGTTCACCATTCATGAAAGGATATCTTTTTAAAAAAATATATTTTATTGATTTTTCACAGAGAGGAAGAGAGAGGGATAGAGAGTTAGAAACATCGATGAGAGAGAGTCATCGACCAGCTGCCCCCTGCACACCCCTTACTGGGGATGTGCCTGCAACCAAGGTACATGCTCTTGACTGGAATCAAACCTGGGACCTTTCAGTCTGCAAGCCGATGCTCTATCCACTGAGCCAAACCGTTGCCGGCCATGAAAGGATATCTTGAAAGGCTACTTTGCCATTGTCTTTCAAGTACTTTTCAGGTAATTCTGATTCCTCCTTTAATGTAAATCAATCATTTATTGAGCACCACATGATTAAGACATGTTCCTTTTTCTCAAAATGCTATTTGGAAACATCCTTGACTGTGAGAAAAAATATTTTTTTCCATATCCATTGTCTTTACTTAGTTCCTTTGTTTGTTTCTATGGTTCTATATTTGAGAATTTTATTTCAAATTTATCTCCAACTCCAGGAATTTGTGGCAGAGTGGGCAAATAATCGTGGCTTGATTGGCCTCCTAATACTTGCATCATGTCGAGGCGCAAGCAAGTGAAACCTCAACATATCAACTTGGAGGAGGACCAGGAAGAGGAGCAGATGCAGCAGCTGGCCCCAAAGTTTGCAGATGCGGCCTCAGTGGTGTCTGCAGGGAGGGAGCTAGGTGCTCCAGTGAACAACCCGGGAACTGGTGAGGACATGAATGGGGACCAAGTGAAAGTAAAGAGATCTTGTTGTGAGCAGTCTGTCATCTGTCAGATGTGCTGTGCAATGTTCTTGAGCGGGCATGAGTTCTTAGAACATAAGCAGAATTGCTCTAAACTTAGACCTGTCTTCATTGTGAAGGACAGTAAGGGGCTGGTGCCTTCAAAAGACTTCAGGGCTGTGGAGAGCTACCAATCACATAATCCAAGCAATAAGGAAAGTCCTAGGGAGCATGGTGGCAGCTCATGGGACATGAAGGAGAAGCCAGGGGCAGAGTCTGTTCTGCATTCAAAGAAGAGTGCTCTGCCACCGATATCCCAGCACTTAAGCTATTTATCCAAAGGCAAAGTGCCCAAAACTAATGTCACTCTTCAAGCACTACCGGGTACCAAGGTGGCAGTGAGTCAGCAGAGAGCCAACACACTGTCTGCTCCCCTGCCTCCCCTCCTGCCTGCCCCCCGGCCTTCTCCCCAGCCTTCTCCTCAGCCTTCCCCCCCGCCTTTCCCTCTACCCACCCCCGTGCTTGATCCCCTACCTTCCCACCTGCCTGCCCCCCTGCCCATCCACCTGCCTTCCCACCTGCCTGCCTCCCTGCCTCCCCCACTGCCTGCCCCGCTGCCCACCCGCCTGCCTTCCCACCTGCCTGCCCCCCTACCTCCCTCCCTGCCCCCCCTCTTGCCCACCCCCATGCCTGCCCCCTTGCCTGCACCCCTGTCTTCTTCTCTACTCACCCCCATGCCCGCCCCCTTGTTTTCCCCCATGCCCACTCCACTGCCTGCTCCTCTGCCTGGTGCCAACAGCGTCCCATGGTTCCTGGAGCAGGTCCTGTATCTGCAGCATCAGCAGCTACAGCAAATGCAGCTCACAGAGCAGATTCGCGTCCGGGTGAGCATGTGGGCCGCCCACACCTTCCACTCAGGCATAGCGGGAGTTGATACCTTGAATACCTTTGGCAGCCACATGTCCCACCAGGTCCAAGGTCTGTTTCTGGACCCCTTGAATCAAGCCAGCTTACCTTACGCAAATATCCCTCCCACCACTAGCTTTGTGCCCCAAAGGCTGGTACCTATTGCCCCAAGGCCAGATGGGTCAAGGGTGCTTTTGAACCACCTTCCAGGTGCTTTCATATCTCAGGCCCCAGTCTCTGTGCCCTTCCAGAGCCCTTTCTCCACTGTGGCGTTAAACCCATCCATGAATGGGAAAGAGAGGCCATCCAATGTCCCCCCAGCGAATGTCAAATCCAGAGACAAGGCTGCCGCCTGCCTGTATAAATGTAAACACTGTAGCAAGTCTTTTGGGACTAATAAAGACTTGCAGGTCCACCTCCTTTCCCATATTGAAGAGAGACCCTTCGTGTGCTCGGTCTGTGGCCAATGTTTCACCACAGAGGACAACCTCCAGGAGCACCATCATCAACATTTCCAGGTGAAGGCGAATCCCCAACAGTTTGGCGAGTTCCACGACAACATGGCAACAGGCATTGGTGTTCCCTGTGCACTCTCTGTACCTGTCCCTGAAGATGAATCAAGTCTTAGCAAATCAGTCCTGGTCACAGAGACCCCCAATGTAGGGCTACCTCAGAATATCTCTTGTGGGACTAACCCCAAGGACCTGATGGATGGCTCACCAGCCAACTACCCTCAGCCCTGGTCTCCAGAAAGTGGGGATGGATACCGATTCTCTGGAATGGGGCCAGACCATAATTACCCAAGCGTTGGTGGTTTCAAAGGAAGAGGGGCATCCAAGCCAGGGTCAGAGACTCTGAAGTTGCAACAGCTGGTGGAGAACGATGATAAGGCCACCACTCACCCCAATGAATGTCACATTTGCCACCGAGTCTTAAGCTCCAAAAGATCCCTCAAAGTGCATTACCGCACCCACAACAGGGAAAGTACATACGAATGTAAGACCTGTGGCCGAATCTTCTCCACCAAAGGAAGCCTGAATACACACTTAAAGACTCACAAAACTAAAACATCCACAAAGGCGAAGTATTCGTGCCCCATGTGCCAGAAGAAGTTTACCAATGTGGCCAGGTTGCAGCAACATGTTCGGATGCACATGAGTGGTCAGATTCCCAGCGCACCTGTTCTGGAAAATCCTTGTGACTTTAGGGATCCTGAGCCAATGGAGATCGATGAGAATGGAAGTACAAGTGCCACATGTCACAGTGATGTTGAAAGCACTGATGTAGACAAAGTTGACTCCCAGGATGCCCCTAGCAACTCATCAAAGATCCCCATGCCTCTTCCGAGCAGCCCCTCGACATTACCTGTGCCAAGTTTCACCATCTCAGCTATCCTGGGTGTGGGCCCTGATCCTGTGGTCACACAGCAGCATAGCAGCAGAGGAAAAGGTTTGGAGGAGAGTGGTGGCTTGACCAACTTGTCCTCAGTGATAGGAGACCAGAAGTATCAGAGCCAAAATGCAGACCTTCTGGAAGTCACGCCAGTCAATAGCAAAGCAGAAAGCATCAAGTCCAAGTTTCCTGATGCTGATGGCAAAACAGAGAGCTTAGAGAACAGCCACACTGATGTGAAAGGTTGGAGCAGTCTTCCATTAACAGTTGCTGGGGCCCAGCCAACCTATGACAAAGTTGGACCCACAACCATATCCGCAGGCATGGCATCTTTGTTAGCAGCTCAGCCATGCCAACAAGATGAGCAACATGGTTGCACACAGTTTGGGAAGAACTCATTGGCCTGTGCTGTTGAAATTCATGAGTGCACTCACACCGGGCAGAAGAAGCCTTTCGTGTGTAACATATGCAGGCAAGCTTTCACCAGCAAAGACAACTTGCAGGCCCACTATATGACACATAGGGCCAACAATAGCTCTGCACACTGTGGGAGGAAGGAAGGCATTGAGAACACCATGGTTCTGTCAGGAACAGATGGAAAGATGTTTCCTGAAATGTTTCCCCAGGAAACCACAGTCCCTTCAGTGACTGTGAACCCAGCTGTGTGCAACCAGGACACCACCATGCTCAGTGGTAGTCTGGCCAGTAATACCAACAAGATCTCAGTGATTCAGAGTGTAGGTATCCCTACTCCCCCAGTTTCCCAGGGGGCAAGCTCTGCTGTGGATGACACTACTGTTTCCAATATAGATGTCTCTCAGTCAGCTGTTAGTGCTGATGTGGAAAAAGCAAGTGCTGCTGACAGCATTCCCAAACACCAGTCCCCTCACTTACCGGAAGCTAAGCTACAGGAGAGCCCACCCGAAGGAGAAATGTAGAGTGACCACTCTTGAACTGAACCTTCCTTCTTTTTTTGTTTTGTTATAACTCATCTCCTCCTGTTTTTTTTTTTCTGATGTGCAAACGATGTTTATAGTTGTGACCACAAACTCAAGCAAGTCCTTCGATCGCAATGTTATGCTGCTTTGCGAAAATAACACAAGAAAACAACAACAACAAAATCATACAGACGTGTTTCTCTTAAAATTTGGAAAGAAGTAGGTCTTGCAAAGTAGCTTGGTTACTTGCAACCAACTGTGTACATAAAACCTTTGTACAAGCTAGAGTTACTAATTCCAAAGACTGACTGTCTGTCACCTGTTTCAAGTTGGAACTTACTGAACCACAATGGAAAAGACAACTGCTTAGCCTGATTGTAAGGAGGGGGTGCTGTATACTGTGGTGCCTGTATGCAGGTAAATGGACAAGGTTTGTTGTCCTTAGGGACATGCTTTGTATGCCCCTCAACACTGCACCCACCCACCCTTCCTTCCTTCCTTCCTTCCTTCCTTCCTTCCTTCCTTCCTTCCTTCCTTCCTTCCTTCCTTCTTCCTTCCTTCCTTCCTTGAAATTTATTGATTTTTTGGAGAGAGAGAGAAAGGGAAAGAGAAACATCGAAATTATTCCAGTGATTTATGCATTCATTGGTTTATCTTTTTTTGTGCAGCATCCCTGCAAACTTGGCATATTGGGATGATGCTCTAACCAACTGAGCTACCCAGCCAGGGCCTTTTTTTTGAATGTACTTTAATAAAAACTAACATTGTAGAATTACAAAATTCCTTTAACCTTGGAATCTTAAGCAGGATGCCCTCAAATGGACTGATTTTAGTCCTTAGAGAATCAATGTATGTGCTGCTGCTTATTGAAGTACAGTTCAATTGGAACCCCGAGAGTGCCAATGTATTATTCCCTGTGCTCTGCAAATGCCATCTTCTTCCTGAACACCAGAAAAGGTGGGCACCCAAGCAGGGGACCTCAAGTGACTTAGTTTAATTCACCGATGCCTATTCTATCAAATAAGTGGGTTTTCATTCTTGAAGAAAATCATAGGGCGTGTTTTCTCATAGGTTCACATACTATCCTCACCCAAGGACATCTTATTAGAAAGAAACAAATATTGATGTGAGAAACATTAATCAGTAGCCTCCTGTGTGGGCCCCAATCAGGGATCAAACCCAAAACCTAAATATGTGCCTTGACTGGGAATCCAACCCACCACCTTTTGGTGTATGGGAGGATGCTCCAACTAACTAAGCCATCTGGCCAGGGTTTCACATACTAATTTTATTAAAAATTTCCTTGATGTAGCTTAGCCAAATAATTATGAAGATTTCTCTTCATGACTATTGCATGAAGCCTACAAAGTTGGAACAGGCAAGTCCGAGGTACGAAAGCTTTGTTATCTACCTCATTTATTTTTGTTATTTTTGTAGCCTTAGTGTCTTTTTCTATTTTATGATTGCTGAAGTTTTTTTAGTCCATGTCTTAAACCTAAGAGTTGATGTATTGGTGAGAGCAGCTGGATGTTCAAGATGTTTTTGTGATTTTTCTAATCTTTTTTTTTTTGTTTATATAATATTAAGTGAATGATGAAACATTGCTGTAACGGTTTAATGAGGAATAAGAAGGAAAGACCCTAATTTCTGTGTGGAGGAGTCTTTCCCCCTCAATATAGAATGTAAGTCTGTTCTCAAAAGTTTGATTTATTGCAACTGACTTTAGAATACAAAAAATAAAATTTTTTTTTTGCCAAGTTGTGCCTTACCTTCTGGAATTGTAAGTGAACACAATAATAATACCTGTTTATACTGTGAAGTGGATATTGTTACAGAGGACACAAACCAGAAGCTTTCTCACTGTTAAGTTAATAAGAGAAAGCCCAGTAGTTTTAACCGCTAATGCTGACTGTTTGAGAATACATTGTGGATATCCACTGTCTCCCCCCCCCCCAATTATGCACATAGAAGGGAAATGCTATGTGTGTGAGAATTACGATTCATAAAGTATAGGGCTGCGGATGTAAATCAGTTAACTGTAATTGTGGTTTATGTACCTTCAAAAAAGTGATACATGCATTTCTGGCCTTGTAAGGCTAAGACTCGGATCCTAGATGATCCAATAGTCACATCAACTTGGTCAATATAGAAAAGGGCAAGGAAAAAAATGAAGAATGAGACCACAATCCATATTCCCCATAAAATAATTGTGTTTGTGGTGCTGGGAAAGTAGTGTTTGTTTATTGAGTGTAAGACTATATATACGCTACTGAAATCACTTAAATATTTACAGATCAACTGTGCTGCTCATGCTTTTTCTAAGAGATGCGAGATATATTATTCTGATGTAAAATCCTGGCTCAGGTTGGGTTCTCTGGGAGCAGAAACTGAAATGGAGATTCTGATTTAAGTGCTCTGTTGAGGGAGATCTCTGTGAGGGAAGCTGGATGGGGCAGGGGAAAGAGCTGAGTAAGGATGTCTCAGCTGGAGACTTGACTCAGCCTCATCCCACAGGGCTCTCTGGATTTGTCGTAAAAGTTGAGTTTCACCTTGAGGCAATGGCTAGCTTTTTATCCTTCCTGTTAGCCATTGGCTATGGGCTGTTCTGCAGGGGGGGTGTGTAGGGGCGAGGAGAGTGTGGAGTTATAACCTGAAGTGCTCCAGTTGGCTCCAGGGGAAGTCTTTAAAGAAGGTAACAGTTGTGAGCCATTACCAGACAACACTCAATGAAGGGTGCATTGCCTGGTGACAGGGATCTTGGCAGTGAACTAACAATGTCTACAATAGGTCTGAAATTTTTACATGGTAATTATGTCAGAATCTAGTTATATATTCTCCAAACCCATTTCTTCTTCCTGGGTATAGAACTTGACTACATTTCCCAGACTCCTTTGCAGTTTGGTATGACCATATGACTCAGCTCTAATCAATAGAAAGCAGGCCACCTCTGGCCCTGCCCCATAAACTCCACTATGAAAGCAATCTTTCATGCCCTCTCTCTTTCCAACTCTGCTGAGCTCCCTCTTTATTTTTATAACTGTCAAGTGTGGAGCACCTAGTGGAGGACTTTGAGGTCCCAGGGGCTGGAGGAGCTATTAGAGGGTGTCTTTGAGTGAACAATCCCATCCATGACCATTGTACTGTGTGACATGAGCAAGACACAAATCATTACTGTTTGTTTCAGTAGTTAGCCTACCCTGACTCATTTAGCGAACCCTACATTTTTCAGAAACACGAATAGCTTCTGAAAAGTTGATTTTCAGAGTTTTATCAATTTAATAAATAATAGTTCTTGCTCAAATTTATGATGACTGAAGTGCTAAATAAGAAATGTTTTTAATTCCTTAAAACAGAAAAAAAGCTCTTATGTATATTTGAGTGTTACAGGTGATTCATAAAGCACCATGAAAATATATGGCTAGGATAATTACTATCCAAAATCCTGTTCAAGGAAACAAAGCAGGAAGCTGTCTGCCTAAGGTTAGACAGGTTGCTATTGTTAATGAGTAGTGAGAACTGTTGGCTCCAGTTTGTCTGACATGACTATTGGACTTTCCCAGTGCACAGGAAGCTTTAACGTTTCTGCTCAGCCATTCCCAGGACTACCAAAGGCTTCATTCCGTGGAGAGAGGTGCACTGTCTGATAACTTATGTAAGAGGCCAACAGGGTTGCTGAGAACAAACTGTTGCTTAAGAACAGTCACCTTCTCAATTTGTCAAGCTTTTTCTTCAGAGGATGGGTCTGGTATAGGAGAAAGATCTCTCTCTCTCTCTCTCTCTCTCTCTCTCTCTCTCTCTCTCACACACACACACACACACATCCATGGATGGGTACAGGATATAATTTCATCAATGTTCAAAACTGGTTTTTATGGGAGACTGTAACTTGTATGATTCCATTGTTATTAGTGGTTTATAGGGCATACAAGGGTGCAAGTGCTCCAACCCCTCTTTTTCTCTCTGAGTGTAGAATGAATTGGGTAAGGTCCATGGGGATACATCAGCTTCATTGTTGCTGGAATTGGACTGGACATTTGGATTGGGCTTGTGGCCACAATCAGGCTGCGTCTTACTATCTCTACCCAATTCCTTCCCCACTTCAAAGAACATCTACAAAATAGGCCCTTACCTAGGAAGCTGAAAGAAAATTGATGTCTTATACCCATCAGATCCTGTAAGTGGGAACAGAGAGTTGCCCCAACCTAGTGTGCTTTGCATGCAGAAGCAGAGATAGAGTGTAGTCCCCTCTGAAGGTAGCAGAATTCAGGGGTGGTGGTGGTCGAGAGAGAGAGAGAGAGAGAGAGAGAGAGAGAGAGAGAGAGAGAGAAAGGAGAGGGGAAGAGAGGAACAGAGGGAGACAGAGAGGGACATAGAGACACTGTTGGAGCCAAGAATTATCAGTTTCTTCTCCCTCCCATCACTTCTTCCTTAGAGAAGAGTGAAAGAGAAGAGCTCTGAGAAGTGGCAATGTTACTTCATCAGCATTCCCTCCTGGGAGTAGAGAGGAAACTTTCTCATGAAAAAATGCTGCTATGGGAATAGCATTCCCTCCCCCACTGTTAAAGACCTACCTTTCTTCACTTCTAGCAAAAAAAAAAAAAAAAAAAAAAAAAGGTAAAATCAGCCAAGCAAATGATTATTTAATGTTTACAGTAGCCCCTCCCCCATATCTATGGAGATACGTTCCAGGACCCCCAGTGGATGCGTGAAACCTTGGATAGTGCCGAACCTGATACACTGAGTGGCCAGATTATTATGATCTCTGAACACATAATAATCTGGCCACTCAGTGTATAATCTATATAACAAAAAGCTAATATGCAAATTGTCCCCTCTACCAAGAGTTCGACGAGCAGGCAGGCCGGTCAAATGTCCATGTCCCCTACCCCTGGCCAGGCTGGCTTGCCCATGCACGAATTCATGTACCGGGGCCTCCTATATATTCAGAGGTCATAATAATCTGGCCACTCAGTGTATATACTACATTTTTTTCCTATACA